AGGTTACTAACTGACTTACAAGGTTACTGACTGACTTACAAGGTTACTGACTGACTTACGAGGTTACTGACTGACTTACAAGGTTACTTACTGACTTACAAGGTTACTGACTGACTTACAAGGTTACTGACTGACTTACAAGGTTACTGACTGACTTACAAGGTTACTGACTGACTTACAAGGTTACTGACTGACTTACGAGGTTACTGACTGACTTACAAGGTTACTTACTGACTTACAAGGTTACTGACTGACTTACAAGGTTACTTACTGACTTACAAGGTTACTAACTGACTTACAAGGTTACTGGCTGACTTACAAGGTTACTGACTGACTTACAAGGTTACTGACTGACTTACAAGGTTACTGACTGACTTACGAGGTTACTGACTGAATTACGAGGTTACTGACTGACTTACAAGGTTACTGACTGACTTACGAGGTTACTGACTGACTTACAAGGTTACTGACTGACTTACAAGGTTACTGACTGACGTTTAAATCCCACCTTCCTCTCTTTCCCGGGGAGAGTCAGTAAGACTGAATATTATCTGTGTACGTCTCATAAATAAAGATTTCCACTCAATAAATAAATTAAATCATTGTCTTACCTTAATATATACACTGAAAGATATACACCTCCAGGTGTATGCTCAGGCTCCCAGTCCTTGGATCAAACCTGACTTTCTCCTGTTTCCTGAGTGCGGATTTATCGCTTTCTCATTTATATAATAATAACAAAAAGAACTAATATTAATAAAAATAATAATGATAATAATAATAATTCTAATATAATTTTATAAATATGCTTTAAAAATAATTATAATTAAATATTTTTAAAAATCATTAATAATAATAAGTTATAAAAATATCTTAATAATAATAATAATAATAACAATTCTAACAATAATGAAATTTTATAAATATGCTTTAATAATAATAATAATGAAATAATTTTAATAATCAGTAATAATAATAATAATATTATAAAATGTCCTAATAGTAATAATAATAATAATAATAATAATAATAATAATAATAATAATAATAATAATAATAATTAAGAGTAGTTTCTTCGAAGACAATTAACACAAAATGAATGACTACTTAATTTCCTCTCCCATTTTTGTAAGGTTAGGTTAGGTTAAGTTAGGTTAGGTTAGGTTAGATTAGGTTAGGTTAGGTTAGGTTAGGTTAAGTTAGGTTAGGTTAGGGTTAGGTTAGGTTAGGTTTAGGTTAGGTTAAGTTAGGTTAGGTTAGGTTAGATTAGGTTTAGGTTAGGTTAGTTAGGTTAGGTTAGGTTAGGTTTAGGTTAAGTTAAGGTTAGGTTAGGTATTAGGTTAGGTTAGGTTAGTTATAGGTTAGGTTAGGTTAGGTTAGTTAGGTTAGGTTAGGTTTAGGTTAGGTTAGGTTTAGGTTAGGTTAAGTTAGGTTAGGTTAGGTTAGGTTAGATTAGAGTTAGGTTAGTGTAGGTATAGGTTAGGTTAGTTAAGTTAGGTTAGGTTAGGTTAGGTTAGGTTAGGTTAGGTTAGTTTAGGTTAGGTTAGGTTAGGTTAGGTTAGGTTAGGTTAGGTTAGGTTAGGTTAGGTTAGGTTAGGTTAGGTTAGGTTAGGTTAGATTAGGTTAGGTTAGGTTAGGTTAGGTTAGGTTAGGTTAGGTTAAGTTAGGTTAGGTTAGGTTAGGTAGGTTAGGTTAGGTTTAGGTTAGGTTAGGTTAGTTTAGGTTAAGTTAGGTTAGGTTGTTAATGTTAGGTTAGGTTAAGTTTAGGTTAGTTTAGGTTAGGTTAGTGTTAGGTTAGGTTAAGGTTAGGTTAAGTTAGGTTAGTTTAGGTTAGGTTAGGTTAGGTTAGGTTAGTTAGGTTTAGAGTTAGGTTAGGTTAGTTAGGTTAGTTACGTTAGGTTAGTTTAGGTTAGGTTAGTTAGTTTAGGTTAAGTTAGGTTAGTTTAGGTTAGGTTAGGTTAGGTTAGGATAGGTTAGTTTAGGTTAAGTTAGGTGAGTTTAGGTTAAATTAGGTTAGTTTAGGTTAGGATAGGTTAGGTTAGGATAGGTTTAGTTTAGGTTAAGTTAGGTTAAGTTAGGTTTGAGGTTAGGTTAGGTTAGGTTAGGCTAGGTTAGGTTAGTTTAGGTTAAGTTAGGTTAGTTTAGGTTAAGTTAGGTTAGGTTAGATTAGGTTAGGTTAGGTTAGGTTAGGTTTAGGTAGGTTATAGGTTGTTAGGTTAGGTTAGGTTAGTTAGTTTAGGTTAAGTTAGGTTAGTAGTTAGGTTAGGTTAGGTTAGGTTAGGTTAGGTTAGTTTAGGTTAAGTTAGGTTAGTTTAGGTTATAGTTAGGTTAGTTTAGGTTAGGTTAGGTAGGTTAGGTTAGGATAGGTTAGTTTAGGTTAAGTTAGGTTAGGTTAGGTTAGGTTAAGTTAGGTTAGGTTAGGTTAGGTTAGGTTAGTTTAGGTTAGGTTAGGTTAGGTTAGGTTAGTTTAGGTTAATTTTAGGTTAGTTTAGTTTAGGTTAGGTTAGGTTAGGTTAGTTTAGGTTAAAGTGAGGTTAATTTAGGTTAAGTTAGGTTAGTTTAGGTTAGGTTAGGTTAGGATAGGTTAGTTTAGGTTAAGTTAGGTTAGGTTAGGTTAGATTAGTTTAGGTTAAGTTAGGTTAGTTTTAGGTTAGGTCAGGTTAGGTTAGTTTAGGTTAGGTTAGGTTATGTTAAGTTAGGTTAGCTTAGGTAAGGTTTGTCAGGAAGCAGGACTAGTGTTTTCTGATGCCACTGATGCTTTATGTCATCTGATTAAGACCTTCCGCTGGCTTACCGGTTCACCCCTTTAAAAATTATGCTTATTGTAATTATTGTATATTGTAAGGTCAGACGTTGTTTGTGCCAGTGACATGATAACGTTGTTCTAATAACATGGCAACTCTGTTCCAATGACTTGGTAACACAACTACGTCGTAGTTAGAAGAGAGTACCGATGTAGTTGGTACTTCACGTTGTTTTTTGTTGCCAGATCTACAGTTTCTTTGGCTTCTTGGAGTTCACTACGAGTGCTTCTTGAAGTTCATTACGAGTGCTTCTTGAAGTTCACTACGAGTGCTTCTTGAAGTTCACTACGAGTGCTTCTTGAAGTTCACTACGAGTGCTTCTTGAAGTTCACTACGAGTGCTTCTTGAAGTTCACTACGAGTTCTTCTTGAAGTTCACTACGAGTGCTTCTTGAAGTTCACTACGAGTGCTTCTTGTAGTTCACTACGAGTTTTTCCCTTGAAGTTCACTACGAGTGCTTCTTGAAGTTCACTACGAGTTCTTCTTGAAGTTCACTACGAGTGCTTTTTGGAGTTCACTACGAGTGCTCCTTGAAGTTCACTACGAGTGCTTCTTGAAGTTCACTAACGAGTGCTTCTTGAATTTCACTACGAGTGCTCTTGAAGTTCACTACGAGTGTTTCTTGAAGTTCACTACGAGTGCTTTTTGAGTTCACTACGAGTGCTTCTTGAAGTTCACTACGAGTGCTTCTTGAAGTTCACTACGAGTGCTTCTTGAAGTTCACTACGAGTGCTTCTTGAAGTTCACTACGAGTGCTTCTTGAAGTTCACTACGAGTGCTTCTGAAGTTCACTACGAGTGCTTCTTGAAGTTCACAACGAGTGCTTCTTGAAGTTCACTACGAGTGCTTCTGAAGTTCACTACGAGTTCTTCTTGAAGTTCACTACGAGGCTTCTTGAAGTTCACTACGAGTTCTTTTTGAATTTCACTACGGTGCTTCTTGAAGTTCACTACGAGTTTTTTTCTTCAAGTTCACTACGAATGCTTCTTGAAGTTCACTACGAGTGCTTCTGAAGTTCACTACGAGTGCTTCTTGAAGTTCACTACGAGTGCTTCTTGAAGTTCACTACGAGTTCTTCTTGAAGTTCACTACGAGTTCTTCTTGAAGTTCACTATGAGTGCTTCTTGAAGTTCATACGAGTCTTCTTGAAGTTCACTACGAGTTCTTCTTGAAGTTCACTACGGTGCTTCTTGAAGTTCAACCGAGGGGCTTCTGGAAGTTCATACGAGTTCTTTTTGAAGTTAAACTACGAGTGCTTCTTGAAGTTAAATACGAGTGCTTCTTGGAGTTCACTACGATTGCTTCTTGGAGTTCACTACGAGTGCTTCTTAAAGTTCACTACGAGTGCTTCTTGGAGTTCACTACGAGTGCTTCTTGAAGTTCACTACGAGTGCTTCTTGGAGTTCACTACGAGTGCTTTCTTGAAGTTCACTACGAGTGCTTCTTAAAGTTCACTAGGGAGTGCTTCTGAAGTTCACTACGAGTGCTTCTTGAAGTTCCTACGAGTGCTCCTTAAAGTTCACTACGAGTTCTTCTTGAAGTTCACTACGAGTGCTTCTTGGGAGTTCACTACGAGTGTCCTTTAAGTTCACTACGAGTGCTTCTTGAAGTTCACTACGAGTGCTTCTTGAAGTTCACTACGAGTGCTTCTTCAAGTTCACTACGAGTGCTTCTTGGAGTTCACTACGAGTTGCTCCTTGAAGTTCACTACGAGTGCTTCTTGAAGTTCACTACGAGTGTTCTTGAAGGTTCACTACGATGCTTCTTGAAGTTCACTACGAGTGCTTCTTGAAGTTCACTACGAGTGCTTTTGAAGTTCACTACGAGTCCCTTTTTTGAAGTTCACTACGAATGCTTCTTCAAGTTCACTACGAATGCTTCTTGAAGTTCACTACGAGTGCTTCTTGAAGTTCACTACGAGTGCTTCTTGAAGTTCACTACGAGTGCTTCTTGAAGTTCACTACGAGTGCTTCTTGAAGTTCACTACGAGTGCTTCTTGAAGTTCACTACGAGTGCTTCTTGAAGTTCACTACGAATGCTTCTTGAAGTTCACTACGAGTGCTTCTTGAAGTTCACTACGAGTGCTTCTTGAAGTTCACTACGAGTGCTTCTTGAAGTTCACTACGAGTGCTTCTTGAAGCTCACCCCGAGTGCTCCTTCAAGTTCACTTATAATGCGTCTTTAAGGTCACCCAGAGTGCTTCTTTAAGTTCATCTTTAAAGTCATATTGTTCAGCATTTATGTACAACCAACAGGCATAGCAAGTTTAAATTAAATCTATTTCTACATCTACAGAATAAATGTACAGCTATATGGGATATTGAAGTTCATTTTATCTCGACTGCCCATAATTAATAGTAACGTATACAAACCAGAGGTAATTAGTTCCGTTTAATGTCAGTTCCCGTCATTATTTAGAGATTACAACCACTGAGTAATCAGTTTCCACGATTTCTCACTTGTAACTCTTGATGAGCACCAAGTTGATGATCATTGATCCAGGAATGGAGAAAATTAAACACACTCTTGATCCAAACACGAATCCTCAATTTTTCTACTTTCTTTGATCTAATTATCTTGTTTCTTCGCTCCAGGCATGAAACAATGATTGTCTAGATTCTTCGATCCTAACATGGAATATTAATTATCTAGTTCCTTCGATCCGTAAATGGAACATTAATTTTATTTCTTAGATCTGAAAATGGAGCGTTAATTGCTTTAATGTCTTCGATCCTAATATGGAACATTATCTAGATTCTTTCGATCCGAACATTAACCTTCAACAAGCATGAATGAGTCACATTGTCCACACGAGGAGCCTGAAGTATCACTTCTGAGTGCTTCAGAAGTGATACTTCCTGCTTCTCCTCATCTGGCACTTGATGATCTTGAGGAACGTCTGTCTGAAGGTTTTGTTGAAGAACGTGTAGAAGAATGGGTTGACCATGGAGGAGGCATAGCCTAGCCAGGTCACCAGGTTGATCATCTCCTCCTCGATGTGGGCGCCGCAGGAGATGAGAACGTTGGCGATGAAGAACGGCGCCCACAGCAGCACGAATGTGAAGAACACTACCCCCAGCACCTGCAAGGATGGAGACCGTCGAAGAAAGGTAAACAAGAGTAGTTTCAGCGCAAGGAGTTGCAGAGGCAAGAAAGAAGAACATTTGTTACATAGAACAACATGATAACGGATATTACAAAAGAAACAAGAGAATCAGAGCAAAGGAAAATTTCATACATTAATTTTATCCCCCACCCACGTTAATTATAAGTCTCCTCGGAGAAGTTTAATTCCCGGGCCAGGTAAATCATATTTTTAATTCCCCTCCACGTTTACTTTAACATCTCTCACTATGCTCAGGCTTCACAGACTATGAGAAACACGGCCACTCCGGAAGATTTTTCCGCTTGCTGCCCAGAAATGTAATGCGGGATATAAACATAGAGTCTGGCCGTCAGCTGACACCACCTACATAACAAGTGGTCATCGCATTAAAATGTTTAAATACCCCAGTATTGCAGTTTTCAACTGCAGAAATGCAATATTTCAATGAACTCTCTTATCTGGTGATACTGTAACCTAGACAGTGACCATTGTTTATACATTAAATTTCGTGAGATTGTATCGACGAGTTGCATTGTGGATAAATTAGACACATGTGCAACTCTTGGGTATCTTTATTGAGGAAACGTTTCGCCACACAGTGACTCCACACAGTGGCTTCATCAGTCCATACATAGGAGAAACTTGAAGAACAGGAGGAGAATGAGGTAATCAGTCCCTCAACCTTGAGTCGATGTGTTCAGTCCATCAATCTTGAGTAGAATACGGCAGATGAGCGGAGAAGCAGCTTATAAACCGTATGGCAGGAGAGGTGCCAAGTTTCTCCTGTGTATGGACTGATGAAGCCACTGTGTGGCGAAACGTTTCCTCAATAAAGATACCCAAGAGTTGCACATGTGTCTAATTTATCAACATGTCGGTTCTCTGAACCATTCATCTACAAAGAGTTGCGTTGTGTTGATCTGGCATGTGAAGAAATTGTAACGTATGAAATTATTGTGATATCTTAAAGATGCAACTATGCCAAGTGGGTTCAGATAAAGACCCACCGTAAACCCGTTGTAAACCTGGTCATTTGAGCTCACAAGATGAGCTGTAGGTACACGAAAGTATTTGTGCACAAAGTATTTGTTTAAAAAAATTCTGCTGGACTTTCACTTCAGCATCAAAGGGAGACCAAGTAGAACACAATGAGCAAAACGTATTAATTAAAATCTTTATGACATTTTCGTTAAATAAAGATGGCACAAAAGATAATCTGAACGCTGTAGACTTAATTCAGTAAATGGTGGCTTACAGTGTTCAGTTCAATGAACATTTAACAGAAGCAACAGTTAAAATGTTCAATATTAATGATAGAGGAAAACTCACATATTGACAGAGACAGGAAAATAGTTCATCTGAAAATTTCATTCTCAGTTTGAGATCATCATAATTCTCCTGATGAGGACTTCACATCGCAATCGAAATATGCAGATCTGATGTACATAGTTTAGAAATCCGACAAAGGATTTGCCTACCAGTGGTTTCTTCAGTCCAACACAGAGAAGAACGGTGGAAGATGAGTTTTAGGTAATAAGTCCCTCCGCCTAGAGTCGATGTCTTCCGTCCATCAATCGACTTGTGAGTTTTCTTCTACCACTGATAAGCATTCAGAATATTTTCATGCTCAGTCAGCATTACCATCAAGAAATGATAATCCGTTATTTTCTTTACTGCAGTGAAAACACATTTCTTTTTTGCTTGAAGCTTAACTAAAGCTTAAACCCTCTCACTCTGGTTACCTTTTACACTAACACCTCTCACCCTGGTAGACTTCTACCCTCACCCTGGTAGACTTCTACCCTCACCCTGGTAGACTTCTACCCTCACCCTGGTAGACTTCTACCCTCACCCTGGTAGTTTTCTGCTCTCACCCTTAAGACCTCTTCCTTCATTCTCTCACCTTAGTAGCTTTCTGCTCCATGCGTATGTTGCGTCCATGACGCTTGGAAGATACATATTTAATGGATGCTGTGCATGACCGCTGCCGCCACACACCTCGCGAGGTGCTCGACGGTACCGAACCCGGGGACGAGGATTCACTGGAAGCCGCCTTGTGAAGCACCGTAGTGACCTGACCACCGGACCTGCTGGGACGAAAGACATGATGAGTGACCTGACTCCCCGGAATTGCTAGGAGGAATGACATAGTGTGTGTCCAGATTCTGGATCTAACGAAATGAGAGACATGGTGAATGACCTGATTCCTGGAACTAGCGGGGAAGGGTAATGGTGAAATCTTGTATATGTGTTTCTCGGGAAGTTTGTCCTGAAGTCCTAAATGTGTGATGAGTAACATAACCCCTGTGATCTCTCAAGGAAAGTTATCTATTAATTTGGATGGCAAGTGAACCTCAGATGATTAGTTTCATAAATAGGTTCGAATTATCTCGAGAAGAGCTGTAGGTAACATGAATTTACTGAAGGTGAGCGTAAAAGGGTGCAAAGAATAAAAATAAAGGATGTAGGTGAACATTTACGCTTGTAGGTGAACATGATACTGTGTGCAACTATGAGGCTGCAGTAGGTGAATATTAATGATAATACACGAACATGAATCGCTCAAGATGAATATGCAAGTAAAAAGGTATAGCCATTCAACGTAGTTGATTCTCTATACCCATGCCTGTGGTCACAGACGTCTGGGGATCACTTCACAAGTGAAAATCCTAGAAAAACGATACAAAATATGATATATACGATACCTGAGGGTTGACCTGGTGACGAGGTCCGATGTGTTTCCCTCGTGCCAAGGTGATGGTAGCGGCCCCTCCGTCCTCTCTGCATAAACAAACATACATACATACATACATAATATATATATATATATATATATATATATATATATATATATATATTATATATATATATATATATATATATATATATATATATATATAATATATATATATATATATATATATATTATATATATATATATATATATATATATATATATATATAAATTTATAATATTGACTGTCATAACAGACTTACATTCCTTTGTATAGAACTAAAAAATTAGTTGAAATAAGTTAGTTGTATACAAAAGTTTATACATTGAGGTCTGCTGTAAGTCATGTAAACAAATTACTCTCACTACTTCCTTAAGAGCTCTGAGAATAAACTCGATCAGAATAAAGAACCAAGAGTCAGTTTAAGACGTTATGGTGCCTAGAATGGTTTGTGTTAGTACTGGAGGTAGACTCACGGGAACCGTTGTGGAGGGTGCGGGTGCGGCGGCCAGGTAGACAGAGACAGCAACCGTCCCCCTCCCCGTCCTGTGACTGGCGGTGGCGGTGGTGGTGGCTTCGGTAGGGCGCTGCCACGTCCTGCGGTCGCGGGTCAGAACACTCGCTGTCGGAAGTCTTGATGTCCTCCAGGAAGAATCTCGGGGCGCAGCTGCAGGGCACAGCCACGTGACCACCGCTGCTACTGCTATCGCCGCCGCCGCCGCCGCCGCCACCTCCGCAATCTTCACCGCACTCCGACGTTCCTCTCCTCCGTGGATCACCATTCTGCTCACACTTGGGATTGGATGTGTGTTCCTGGGGGTGCTGCTGCTTGGCCTCTTCGGCTGTAGCACTACTAGGGATGGCGTCTGCGTGCGCATTGTTTACGTCAGAGTCATGTTGACGTCGGTGTAGGGGTGAAGTAGTGGTGGAGGTGGGAGCTGAGGAAGGTCCCTGAGGGAACACACTCAGTTCGTAGCCCGGACTGGTGGGTAATGGGGGAAAGAGGCGATCCTCTCCCGCACTGGTCGAGTCAGATTCCAGCTCCTTGGCGGAGTAGCCGCGGATGCCGCAGCCGCCGCCTCGCACCAGGGCGGCGCGATAGTGGTGAGTAGTGTAGCGGACAAGGGGAGGCCTGCGGAGAGGACTACTGCCGAATCTTCGCAGTTTTCCTTCTTCACCTCGGCTATCCAGCCTGCAGCCGCCCTCAGACAGGTCTCCCTCCGTCAAGGACACAGCCGTGCTAGTGCTCAGGTTGGAAGTGGTCTTACATAGAAGCTTTTTCCAACGGACAGACCTGGGCGAGGGCGAGGCAGAAGAAGACTCCAGCACCGTTGACTGGAGCTCACTCTGTTTCTTGGAGAGCAACCGTGCGGTGAGCGCATACGTCACTAGCATGATGGTGAGTGGGATGTAAAAGCAGATGACTGAGCCGATGATCTGGAAGAGCGACACGGGTATCTGGCAGACGCCGCCCACGATGGTGGAGTGAGGGTCGGTGGCGTACATGAGGGAGAGTGGCAAGGAGGCCGCTAGCGACAAGCACCACACCAACACGATCTTCAGCACCACGCGACGACGAGTCTTGTGGCGACCGAACTTCATTGGGTACCTGTGGATATACCAAGAGCATATATGTGTATGTAGGAGCATATGTGAGAGAGAGAGAGAGAGAGAGAGAGAGAGAGAGAGAGAGAGAGAGAGAGAGAGAGAGAGAGAGAGAGAGAGAGAGAGAGAGAGAGAGAGAGAGAGAGAGAGAGAGGACGTAGAAAATGGCAATAAAAGCTACGAACTTACAACCCACGCCTTACAAGCTATATCTTACAACCCACGCCTCACAAGCTTCGATCTTACAACACACGCCTCACAAGCTATATCTTACAACCCACGCCTCACAAGCTGTGATCTTACAACCCACGCCTCATAAGCTGCGATCTTACAACACACGCCTCATAAGCTGTGATCTTACAACACACGCCTCATAAGCTGCGATCTTACAACCCACGCCTCATAAGCTGCGATCTTACAACACACGCCTCATAAGCTGTGATCTTACAACCCACGCCTCATAAGCTGCGATCTTACAACACACGCCTCATAAGCTGTGATCTTACAACACACGCCTCATAAGCTGTGATCTTACAACACACGCTTCATAAGCTGTGATCTTACAACACACGCCTCATAAGCTGTGATCTTACAACCAACGCCTCATAAGCTGTGATCTTAAAACCCACGCCTCACAAGCAGTGATCATACAACCCACGCTGGCAGTTAATTAGAGAGAGAGAGAGAAAATAAGAGTGTGACCGAGGGGCTCGCTTTACCATGAGTAAGAAGAAAAACTTTTAACATTAACTTAATTAATACTCAGACAGTCCACTGAAGCTGACCTTTGACCTAAAGTGAGCTATTTATTGCCAGTAAAATGGCTGAAGGAATATGTTGAATTCCTCACCCACATCCCCCGCCCCCTCACACTTCAGCCCACTCACACACACACCAGCTCACTCGTACCCATACAACAGCCCACTCACCCACACAGCAACATTGTATTGTGGTTAAACATCTACCACCTCTGAGCGGAAATATGGAATGTGTATGTAAAGTGATGAATGTTATGCAGGTAAGTACTGTTACTGGTACTGTTGTTATTAAAGCTGCTGTTGCTGTAGTTTTTACTGTTCCTGCTGCTGTTAATAATAATAAAATAATAATAATAATAATATAATAATAATAATAATAATAATAATAATATAATAATAATATAATAATAATAATATAATAATAATTAATAATAATAATAATAATATAGTAATAGTAATATAATAATAATAATAATAATAATAATAATAATAAAAATTAATGTAATAATAATAATAAAATAATAATAATAATAAAATAATAATAATAATAATATATTAATATATTAATAATATAATAATAAAATGTAAAAGTAATAATAATAATATAATAATATATAATAATAATAAAAAATAATATATATATAATACTTATTTCACAGAACATGTAAGGTAAGTCTAGCTGCATCAGTGATACTACATACAGAAGCGTGTATGCGAGCATTCGGCAATTAGGTTAGTTGTCCCAGGATGCGACCCACGCCAGTCGACTACCACCCAGGTACCCATTTTATACTGATGGGTGAACAGGGACAGCAGGTGTCTTATGGAAACACGTCCTAATGTTTTCCAGCCGTACCGGAGATTCAAACTCCGGACCTCAGTGTGTGAGCTGAGTGTGCTGTTACTGCTACTGCTACCAGTGATAATAATGTTCCTGTAGCTTATTCGCGAAGAGATACGATAGGCAAGAACATTTGGAACCAACATGAAACAGAGAGAGTGAGAAAGAGAAAGAGAGAGAGAGGGAGAGAGAGAGGGAGAGAGAGAGAGAGAGAGAGAAAAGAGAGAGAGAGAAGAGAGAGAGAGAGAGAGAGAGAGAGAGAGAGAGGAGAGAGAGAGAGAGAGAGAGAGAGAGAGAGAGAGAGAGAGAGAGAGAGAGAGAGAAGAGAGAGAGAGAGAGAGAGAGAGAAAGAGAGAAAGAAAGAAGAGAAACAAAAACGTTGATGCAGGAGCAAATATATGCTGACAACAGTGAAAATATCATATTTTAGATATCTGAGAATATCAGTAGCTGTCAGAGAGCGGTGTTGAAACGTAGCTTGCTATAGCAGAAGTACATAGTGAAAAATGTTCATAATCACGAAACGTACCTGAGAGAGAGGAAGCGATCGACGGAGAGTGTGCAAAGGTGCATGATCGAAGCTGTGCAGAAGAGAACATCCAGTGAGATCCACAAGAGGCACAGCTCCGACGAGAACGGGAAGTGTCCTGGGAAAAGAAATAAATTGTAGTTAGAGCTTTTCAATAAGAAATGGCTCAGAAGAAAGCGGAGACCCGCCTGGGGGAAAAATTGTTCTAATGCTCTGTTGGCCGTACGTGGGGTTGGTTGGTTGGTTCTTAGGGTTTAGAGCCTAGCTACTACACGAGGGTCGTTAAGACTGCATATCACCTGCTCACTACCAGTTTTAGGGATTAGAGTTTACTTTAATACCTATAACAGGGATTAAAGAAAACTCAAGGTATGTATACTGAGACATGCACCTCTCAGTGTATGTATATCTAGTGTTATATCACTGGTTGACTAGTCTGATGCAGTTAAAATTGATGTAAAAAAGCGTATTTAGATTGAACAAGCTTTTTGTATAGAATAATAATAATAATAATAATAATAATAATAATAATAATAATAATAATAATAATAATAATAATAATAATAATAATAATAATAATAATAATAATAATAATAATAATAACTATAATAATACAACATTATCAAATAAGTTTATATGCTGTGTGATCCACACGAGTTTTTGCATCCTGTGAGCATCTAAAAATGGCACTGAATCAGCTTATATACGTACGATACAAAATGCATATAAGTGCAGGATTATTTTCAAATGATTCAGTCATGATATATATGTATGTATGTAACTTCAATGAAAGGATTACGACTTAGTGCTTTGGTGTGTGTCAACTGGGGAGGGGACTATCGATCTGGTGATGCGTCTAGTGGTGGTACATCCCTTGTGCCGCTTCATCTGAAGATGGCTTGGTTCATCCAGATTACCCACACAAAGTCCTTCATCTAACTAGAAGTCCTGAGCAATTCAAGTAAAGCTGGAAGATAAATGTAAGGGTTCCACTTGGAAAATGGGAGATCAACTGACGTACCCACTAACAGACTGCCACATACCTAACGCGACTGTGTAGAAGACCTCATGAGCACCATGCTGAGAGATGGAGATATTGACGAATTCAGATTCCCTTGAATGTTCCACAGAGTCTAGTGATCAAGAAGGATAATACTTAGCACTCAGTGAGTGACTGTAGGAAGCTTAACGCAAAGAGTATTCCTGATAGATTTCCTTTAACTGTTCTCAATGTTCCTTTGAAAAACATGAAATGTAGTTTATCGGCAAGTATGATTGATAAGAAGATATAAAATGCTGTTTATGGAAGTTTATTGAGATAACATTTCTCCTACTATTATTAATTCTCTGATAAATTCTCAATAAATTCTGATAAACTCTCAATAATTCTCTGATAAATTCTCAATAAATTCTGATAAACTCTCAATAATTCTCTGATAAATTCTCAATAAAATGCCATCAACTTCGTATTGCGTTCATTAACATACAAAACAGGTGAAAAATTATTATAATTATTATACTTATGAAGGAGCTCCAGAGCCGTAGGGATCATGCAGCGCCTTTGAATTGGGAATGGTAAGCAATTAGATTAGATCAAAAGTAGTAGAGGGCAGCTTCAATTCCATGGATCAAAAGCCCATCACCAGAAAATGAACAAAGAAGCTGAATGCTTTCTCGACACCAATAGGTCATTATCATTTGTGAAAGTGTCTAAATTTAAGACTGTGTTCATTGTTAATAACATCAAAATATATGACCACCTATGACCTCCAGTTTCATTCTCTTAGGCAATATGCCTCTTGTATAGTACATGTATGAGTTTAATTGCCATGCCTCTGGACATTCCCATTCATCTTGTACACCCTGGTACACACACTATGCTCGGCCTGAACCACCCACCAGTGTTTTGTTAATGCTGTATCAATGCTTAGTGCTGCCTGTGCACGTTGCTAGTGCATGCATCTTCTTTAAGAAATGTATGGAGCGCCTTGAGCCCCGAGTCAGTAGCTTCAAGCCACCGGCTCCCGCCTGGAAAAAAACGACATCGATGTGGTATAATGCGATCCTTTACTAATCTTTTTTTTGTCAACCAAGGATCACATTATACTGCATTGGGGTCTCTTTCCATCGTGTCGGTATCTGACACCATTTCTCCCTAGTCTTCGCCTATTCACACCAGCCACTCTCATCACCTAGTTGTTCGCTGCTGGTTGCCAGGTCAGCTTCAATACCACCCAATTCACTATCATTCTGTCCAGTGCCTTAAGGGAATATATACATGCTCTTCCTAGCTGAGGTCTGTAATCAACTCGTGATCGTCTAGTGTTCGCCGAAGCGTAAATGCTCCGTTGTGTTTACCTCCAGACTGTGTTCTCTAGTCTCTTCGAGGGCGCAGGCTTGTATCGCCTCCACCTTTCTCATCACAGTGCTTGTTTGAATTCTGGCACGTTGGATGAACTGATACATAATCTCAACGTCAAAGCTTTATTGACAGAAGTGTTACAAGTAGTTGACAGCTGTAGGCAACTGACAATAACCAAAGTATGAGTCGAGGGCTGGCCAGACAAGTTCCGTTTCCCTTATGCTGTGCTAGGTGACCTTCAACTGTCTTTAGATCATCAG